TTCACTAAGTGAAGCACAGAGGGCTCCATCCAGCTAAATGCATAAAGACCTTGGCATTTAATACCATTATATTAATATCACAATTCTTACCTAGTATCAAGAAGATAAAATTAGGGATTTTTATCTTCCATTCTGTGCTATTCAGAAGCAAGCTTTGCAGCTACTTTCAAAAGCAATTTTGAGTATTAGCATTCTAAACCTCTACATTTAAGAAGTACATACACAAGTCATATCCATTACTGCAATTTTATGAGCACATACTTTCCAATTAGACATCCTCACAACAGAGTAACACACAAAAAGAAAATAATGGTTATAGAATGGATCCAGCAAAATCCCACTTAAGAAATATTGGCAAATATACTGAATAAATGGAAATATACTTTCTATCTAAAACTTCTAAACTTAAAATTAACCCTCCATCTGAAGGTACTAGTACTAGTCAAGACTTGAAAGAAAGCTTTTATCAAAATGAGAAAACAGAAACCTACTTTTTCCATATTTTCTTTTTTTATATCCAGAGAAAAGCTTCTGAAAGGTGAATGGCCCTGGAAGCAATTCTGTTTATCCTAAAAAACCCAAACAAACCAAGAAACCCCTCCTCCTTTAGAACCAGCCAGCCAACATTCAAGGAACAGGAAAGTGAATCACTATTTCTATACTTGGGTGTTGAAGGGTGCACAAACCACTATTTCATGGACAGCTTACCCTCATTTGTGATCAGACTTCTCTCATCTCAGCTGTGACCATACAGTTACAGTGAGGAAACAAGTTTCATACCAAGGATTTATTAACATTAACAACAGTTAATACTAACTACATAGAGAGAATCTATTCTAGCTTCTTTCTTCACTGTGCTTCATTATTCTCAGACTTGCCTCCTTCCACCTACCCTGCAATTTCCTCTTTGCAAGGCAGGTTGCTGTCCAGGCAACTTCCATTCTCCTGTGCCTGCCCTAACACCCTGGTTATTCCTGACTGCTGGTCAATGATCACAGTAATTTCATCAGCAGTTAGCCTCCTATTCCTCCTCTACTGCGAGGGCTGCTAACACAGGAACCTAACACAGCTCTCTGGTTAGGGCTGTTTGCAGTCCCTTTGCTAGGAGGACTCTGAACTCCATCAGGAAGCACTGGAAACAGAGTGCCAACACTTCATGACAGAAGCTCCCACTGCTACTTCGATGAAAATAGCAACTGAAGATTTGAAATATTCCATTCAGTCTCTAACAGCAGTAGGATTTTTAGTCTTAGAATTGTATTACAGTCAGTAACAGTGGTCACTGACAGTATTCTTAATTGGCAATTAAAAAAAAGAGACATGCAAAATAAACACTGACAAAGCTTCAATTATACTTTGGAATGTAAATATCTCAAGTTATAATCAAACTTCATGAAAACAGCCTACACAGAACAATAGCACACAATCCAGCAGCAGATTTCATGCTATGTACATTAACCTGTGATTTTACAGTTTACTCTTCACTTGTTAAACAATTCAGTACCATCATGGCATGAAGCAAACAAAGTTTTAGCCCCTTAAATATAAATGTAACGAAACACTCAGTATTTTCTTCACAATAAGAAACAATTGAGTACAGGTGGCTTAACTGAACTAACCTTTCTGCACAAAGTTCTACTGTGCATCTTAGTTGATAATTCTGCTCCACATATACAAATAGAAAAATCCCTTTCCCTTTTTTTTAGTAAGGGTTGCACCTTGCATTTTTATTCCTAAATAGTATATATATATACACACACACACACATAATGCATATATATATACACATACCTCCCTTAAAGTATTCCCAAAGCTGCCCTACTTATCTGGCCTCTTTGTTTTCTTTCCTGTACACCAGTATCACCTCATTTATGCATTTAAAAAGACCTACAATGGTCATCCATGCTCTCAGTCTATCCATCCTCCAGCATGAGAACACTCCAATCTTTTTATTTCCCTTTTTCTTCAACGGAAACATTTTCACACATCTACCAGGCCCTTCCCAGCTCCATTCCCTGCAAACAATGCTGCCTTTAAGTCCCTATTTGTTACTGTTAAGAAACTTCACACTTGAGTTGGTCTCATAAGACCCCCTAATCTCCTCAAACCCCACACTTGCCTACAGCAGCTGACCTACAAACAAGAGATGCACTGAGGGGGGGAACTGTTCATTATGTTTTAAACACTTGTATACAGAGACAACTAATGTCTCCATGCACAAGGACCTGGAAGCAAGAACAAAGTTAAGGCAGTTTTCGGATATGCTGGATGTACAAGTGCTCTTTGGAAACCAGGGATGTTGCAAAAACTTGCAAGTACTCCACCGTGTTTAGTCCAAGGTAAACCTGGAAGTGTCTCTCCAGAGAATGACTGTCCCTGTGTGTAGTCTCTTCCCACAGAAACTATGCAGTAAGCAACTTTGGAAAATGCTTTGTTTGCACTGTATCAGTCTGAAGGGCTTACCCATAACACGTTTTAAAACCTTAATTGAATTTCTTACCATGGATTACAGTTCTACAAACACGACGGATTCTGCCATGAATCTTACAAAAATAAGCTGTAACAGCAAATATCTTTATACAGGTACCAAAGATACTCACAGGGGGTAGTTCTATCATTCTGAGTTATTAATTTGCAATCAATTTAATTATAGCTCTTATATTTTAAATATGTACACTTAGATCTGTAAGTGACATGGAGCCAGTTGTCTTCACCACAAAAAAAGTGCACCAGTCATGACCAAATGAGCATGCTACAGCCATGAACCTTCCTGTTGCACTTCAGAGCAAAAATCATGAAGAGATATACAGAGGTACTTCCTAAACACTGACTTGAGAGGGAGACATCAGGTTAAATCAGCTTTATGGTCAGTAATAACACTCCAGATTTCTGTCCTATTTTGTTTTCTAAGGCATGAGAGAGAAAGATTGTTTGGGACTTTAATGCACTTTTGGGAAATAAATACTGTTTCAATGAGGCTTGTTTTGTTCAGCTAGATCACAGGTAGGCAGTAACACCTTTGTAGTACTTTCAAATCAAGCACCACTGATTTTAAAATAATGCACAGCAATTACAAAACACCACCACACAGTTTTTTTCTTCATTATACCACAACATTTCACCTGTATTCTAACACCTACCTTCAGTTCATACTGACAGAAACATTCAGGAAACCAGAGTTGGTATCCTTCTGCTCAGCTTTGGTTTACTACACAGGATTTAATAGAGCTTTGCTTGTCTTGAATGTACTTTACAAAGGTGAAACTGTGGCCACACTAACCTTACTAACAGCATACAAAAAATATCACTTATTTCCATTAAATAGTACAAATTTCCACCTTTTAAAATTAGCAATTTCCCTCAGACTGCTGAAGACTTACTTCCTTCTTGCAGCCTATTAACACATGGTGTGCAAACGACTGGTTCCAGATCAGAATAAATGAAACTTTCCACTGTGTTAACTGCCAGGAGAAGGTTCAGTGGGATAGTGTTCCTTCCATTCACAAAACTGCAAATAATTTATTTTCCTTCACCCTTAGTGTATACATCATCCATGCTTCACATCACCCCCCAACTATTAAATCCAGCTGGACTCAGTAAGGACTTCAGAATGTCTTTCCTATCTTAAAAACAATTCCAACACACAAATAAGCAAATACACTCCCCACACAGAGCCTCATCCTCCAGATGTTTTCATATATGCACAACTCCACTAAATGCAGCTCTACTGAAGCAGAAAAAATTACTGACTGTGGCAAAACTAGGCAGAATTACATGAGTATGTAGGATAAATATCTTTGGGCAGGTGAACAGGAAATAAGAGGACACCTCTGTATCCTGAGCAGCAGCACAGAGTAGCAGTTTATGGGCATTGCATGTGCATTTAATTCTGAGACTACCACACTTTCAATTATGATCAGATATAATGAGAATCAGTGTACTAAAGATGCCTGTTTTTATAATCCATCTACACACTTCTATGACATTATGAGTGGTCGACAGAGCCTCTGTATTAAGCCAAACAGGGAAAAACAAATAGGAATTCTAAGAACAATTGGGTACCATAAACACATTTGTGGTGTGGAACTAGTATTTCCTAAATGGTACTTGAAGACATTTCCTTTATTTGACTATTATGTCAAGTAAAACTAGTGCAACCATAAATATATCTGTACTTCACAATTTGTTAACTTTATATAGAACAACGAAGTGCTGATTTAAAGTTCCAAGTTCTCTACTTGAACACTTTACTTCATAACTTGATGCAAATACCAAAACAGAAAGCACTTTTCTCAAATTCAGACAGTAACTGCAATTTTCTAAACTGCAGCTGTCACCTTAACACTCTTTGTGACATGGAAACCTCTACTCTTTCCTCCTTCTAGGAAGCAGAGACAGAGAATACAATCAGGTAAAAAATTACTGGGGATATTACTGTCTGTAAGAAAAAACACAGGAGGCTGACTGACTGTGAACACATTTCAAGTTCCTGTCAAGAAAGGTTCTAGTATGTGCTACCTTTGATTGCTGATTGTTAAGAGTTGTATGCAGCAGCTAAATATAAAGAAGCTCTTCCTAATTTCTGATGGGGCTTGGTTTATGATGCATGTACACTGTACAGCAACAGAATGCACAAAGTGATTAAAAAAGTATTCAAAATAGCCAATATTTACTGTTCATGAAAAACTGAGAAAACTGTTTCATGTAATCAAATGCTGCAGTATGTCTAAAGTAATGAGACATACCAGTTTAAAAAAAAAAAGTTTGTTTAACCTTTATGGTTATAAGGAAAACTACCATACCTGGAAAAACCAAAAAATTCATGTGTTACAATACCTAAATAATGGTTTCCAATCAAACTCACACTTGGGTTTCATTGCAGTCTTCCAATCACAGCACAAGGCACATTTAGGGTAACACTCATCACCCAAGTGGTAACGGCTAGACTTTAATGAGAAATGAGTGATTGTTTAGACAAAGGTTTCTTAAAGACAACTCACCACCATCCCTCTCTCTAACTCTGTGAGTATGCACACTTTTTGCTTTACTGTGCCCTGTGTTGTCACCGTATTTGTTCTCGGGGCTGTCCGAGCGCCGCAGCATCTTGTTGGGTGGTGAAGGATCTGCCGTGTCGCGCATCTTGTCATGACGGTGGTCACCACCACTGGGGTGACTCTTGGATGAGTACTTAAGAGCCTGTAACACACCACAAGAAGACAGGCATTTACTTTATATGTGAAGTTTTGGAATGGATGCTAAAATGCCATTTCTAAATTTTACATCTCTCAAAAACACTTTTAGAAGTTAATTAATTTTTATCTCCTGTTTAAAGAAAAAAAGTTAATTTTTATCTCCTGTTTAAAGAAAAAAATCAGCATTAATCCTTCTAGTTTTAATTATCTACATTACAGCAACAAGTTCTGTAATTAGAACTCAAACCATTTTCTCCCACTGTTACTTCCAATCTCAAACTTGCTGTTAGGAAAAACACAGTTTCTCTGTCTTTTCACTGCTGTGCTACACATTCCCAACAGCCAATGGGCCACAGAACTCCTGCACTTCTGGGAGAAGCAGGTGGAGACCTGCTACAGAGAATACCAACTGAAAGTTACACTGAACCAGTGTAAACTCTGAGTATGTCCTCCACACTCTTAGTCAAGACTGTTTGGTTTCACCATTTCCTTGAGCTTCTGCAGTGTTTTTTCAGTACTAGCAACCCTGTATCAGCTGCAACTAAGGAAAATAACAATTCTGCGGGCCCCAAACATGCAACATGACAATTAATTTTGAGGTATTTACCAAAAATCGCATGTTCTGCCTCGCTTTGACCTGTTTGGTTTTGCACTGTGAGGTTCTGAATGCTAAGTGTTTACACTCACTCGAGCTGTCAGTGACAGCTGCCCTGGGCTGCTGTGCTGCACTGCACAGTGACACAAAGGTACAGAAGTGCAACAAACCAGCTCAGTTCTGGGCCTGGGGAGAGCAGTATCACGATGTGCAGCTTTTCACGGGCTCACACCCCAGGAACTGCTTTTTCCAGTGGACACAGGGAAGAAATACAGTACCCACCTCGCAGATATCGAGGTTATTGTCAGCAGCTTAAGGACCTGATGGTTTCTGAACATGCCTAACAGCTGGCAACTGCAGAAATTAAGCCTTACTGGCAACCCCAAGTTATTCAGGGTCTAAACCCTGAGCCCTGCTCAGGTTACAGCGCACAGCAGCAGTTTTGGGGAGAAGAAAGGCCTTGGGGAAGGGGGGTGGGGGAGGAACAAGACGCCTTTTGTTTTTAAATGAAAACACTCACCTCC